GGTGAAAAATTTCCATGAAGTTGGGTAAAAAACCTGCCTAAATTAGGGCAAATTTTCACTAAGTTATTTAGTTCATGGACCTATGTTCATAAATTCATAACTTGAGATCCAAGCATCTTTTGGAAAAAGTTTGTGAGGAAAAGTTTTAGATTTCATGGAGGACTACAAATTTGATGTTGGAAGTTTTCTTTGAATCAAATTGCATCATGGTGAAAAAATGGTGAAAAGTTGGGAAAAAATAAGAAAATTTCCATACTTAGAAAAAAAAATCTAAGTTATGAAAATTTTCAAATTCAAAACCCTAATTTTCAAAATTGGTTTTCTTGGTGAAAAAGTTTCATGTTTTGACATATCTTGATGAATTATGACCCTTGGCATTTAATTTTGACCAAAAAGTCAATGTTTGACTTTTTAGTGTACAGTTGACTTTTGATCAGTTGACTGGAAAATTCATTTGTCAATCTAATGAACTTGAGATCTTTTGAACCATGTAATTAGGTCAAGATGATGCCATTGAATCCTTGAAATCATGTTTGAACCCAATTGGTCATTGGCTAGGTTAAAAATCAGAAGTTGCCCTTTCTCAGTCAAAACCCTAATTTTGACCATTTTGCCCTTTTGATGATTTGATCAAATTTCTTGAAGAGTTGTGATCCAAACTTGATCAGATGGTACATATGAGTCTAAAATGTTGTTGTGGATCAAAAATTATGAAGTTTGACTGTAAATTGGCCATAGTTGACTTTTTTCCCAATACAATTGATTTTTAGGTCAACTGTCCAATTGATTGAGCAAAAATGTGCTTTAAGGCTTGAAACTTGTCATGAGAAATCTTAGGGGTCCAACATGATGTAGGAAAGTCACATGAAGCATTGGTGGTCCAAAAATCCTTGTGCAAACTCAAACCCTAATTTTGGATCATCAATGCAAGATGAGGTATCCTGAGCAGACCAAACCCTAATCTTGTCTTGAGTCTAAGGAGTCTTGTGAGAAAAATCTTGATAAATGAGAGGGAAAATTTTGGGGTACAACAGCTGCCCCTGTTCAATCTTCTTGAACCTGAAGAGTTAGATTGGCGAGCTTTGTCGTTCGTGACTCGAAGGTAAAAGATGATAGGACACTAGAGTTCCCATAAATTTGCACTCGATAAAGTGTAGTTGAGGGAATGGGCTTAAAGATGCCATTTGGGAGAGATGATAAAATCTTGTTGGAGATGGGCTTAAAGATGCCATCCAAGAACGTTTGTTGAATTGTAAGTTGTAAGTCAGAAGAATAAGTATCAGGATGGTGTCCGCGTCTGAAACACATTTGAACTGTATCTGGAGACTGAAATCTGAATGAGAAACAGAATAGAATCCGTGTCTGGAGCGTATCCGTACTTTATCAAGAGTGGGAAATCTGAATGAGTATCAGAATGGCTTCCGTGTCTGGAGCGTATCTGGACTGTATCTTGAAGTTGAAGTTTGAATGAGTAACAGAATGACTTCCGCGTCTGGAGAGTATCTGGACTGTATCTGAACTTGAAATCTGAAAGAGTAGCATGATGGCATCCGTGTCTGGAGCGTATCCGTACTGTATCTTTGAAAGTTGAATCTGAATGAGTACCATAATGGCATCCTTGTCTGGAGCGTATATGAACTTGAAATTTGAATGAGTATCAGGATGACATCCGTGTTTGGAGCGTATCTAAACTGTATCTGGGATCTGAATCTGAATGAGTATCAGAATGGAATCCGTGTCTGGAGTGTATCTGAACTGTATCATGATTGCATATTGTTAAACTGTAGCTGTTAATCTTATCCTGAAAAGGGTAAAATGTTAGCTGAAACACAAAGTTATGTTGCATGAAATGTATGATGCAATATATGTCAATGTTTATGATATATGGATGTAATGTATACGCATGTAAGCTGATGTGCTGTATTGCTGAGGAATATAAATCCTTGACTGTTGCCGGGGAAAATAAATCCTTGACTGCTGAGGATAAGAAATCCTTGGCGACTGTTAGGGATATAGGGATCCTTCATGTCTTGAAGTTGGAGTATTGACGAAAATTCTGCTGCGAACAATGCCATATACTGCTTGAGAAATCTGCTTGGGAAATCCAGAGAACTTTGATGACTTCTACTGGGGATTACACAATGGGAATCCTTGTTCCGCTGGGGAATAGAGAAAACTCTGATGACTTCTGCGGGGAATTAAGAATGAGAATCTTCATTATGTTGGGGAGCAATGAAAACTCTGTGGGGAAGAAGGCTTACTGTTGGGGAGTAGGTTCAGGAGTTTGGGTTGTCTGCCAATCTACTAGGGAGTTATCAGAAGTTGTTGTCTGGTTTTTAGGCTTCAAGAAAACTTGCTGGGGAATTTAGAGAAACTGGATGGTTTCCGCTGGGGATTGATAGTTAGAAGTTTTGGCTCCACTCAGGATTGGGAGTTTGAAGTTTTAACTCTGATAGGGATCTAGATGATGTACTGTAGGGATTGCTCATGGAATAGCCTAAAGACGTTTTCCTATCCTTTCAGTCTGTCAGTAATTATTCTCTTCCATCCTGTTTATTTGTAAACAATAATTATGTTCAAATGCATATGTTCATCAATGAATCATTGGACGTTTTTGCACATAAAAACACAAGTGTAAAGGAAAAGGCAAATAGTTTTCTGTACTTTGAAAGAGGTATCTTTGTATTTACTTTGAATAAGTGTTTTGTACAAAGGAGACAGACATCCTAGTAAGAGGATGGTGTCATAAAAGTAAGAAAATTTTATACAAAGAAAGATAGCTATGTGTAAAAATCCCATGGGCTTCCCATTCCGCTATAGCCTTCGTATCTTTGAATATCTTGTCCATTCGTTGCTTTGTCCGAAGATGATTTAATTGATCAGAAGCTCAGAGTTTGTCAGTGAAGAGATTATCCTTAAAGTGATCCGACGAGACATAGTCATACGCTTTAATTCCCTAACTTTTTCCTGGACCGCCCTTTCGGGTTTTTAGTCCACCGGGAAACCCTTTTTTGCCCAAGTCTCCCTTTCATGTTTTCAACTTGTCGGGTGTACATATTTTTTTTTATTTTATCCCTAATTTTTGCCTGAACCTTTTTGGTTCGCCGGGATGCCCTTGTTTTGCCTAGGTGTGTCAACCTAGCGGGTCTCTTATGCATAACATCTTTTGACTATGTATGCATTCGCAGGGTGCGACAGGTCGTCGCCATCCATGGTGGTTAAGATCATTGCCCCACCAGAAAAGATGTTCTTGATTACAAATGGTCCTTCATAGGTAGGAGTCCATTTTCCCCTGGGACCACTTTGTGGCAAAATGATGCGCTTGATCACTAGATCTCCAACTTGATATACTCGGCGTCTGACTTTCTTGTTGAAAGACTTGATCATCCGTTTTTGATACGTCTGACCATGGCAAACAGTAGTAAGCCTCTTTTCATCAATTAGGTTCAGTTGATCAAGCCAGGTCTGGATCCAATCGTCTTCACTCAAACCAGCATCCTTCATGATTCTCAAGGAGGGAATCTGAACTTCGATAGGTAAAACAGCCTCCATGCCATAAACCAAAGAATAGGGTGTTTCCCAGTTGATGTGCGAGCCGTGGTACGGTACCCGTGAAGAGCAAACAGTAACATTTCAAGCCAATCCTTGTAGGTGTCTGTCATCTTTTGTATGATCTTTTTGATGTTTTTGTTTGCAGCTTCGACTGCACCATTCATATTTGGCCGGTAGGGAGATGAATTGTGATGTTGACACTACAACATTTGTTGCCTCTGGCAACATTTGAAAAACGTTGTCAGAACTCTAAAAATCGTTGCCTAAAAGAATAGAAGACGTTTTCCAGGCGTCTCCTGTACGAGCGTTGCCTATAGCCTAAGGGGACGTTTTTTCGTGTTCTCTGGGCACACTTTTAAAAAGCGTCGCCTAAATTAAAGGAATAGGGGACGATTATTTATGGCCTCTAAGGTGACGCTTTTTATGCGTTTCCATATACGGCTACAATTAATAACCGTTACCTTAAATATGAATCAAGAGGATCATTTTTAAAGTGTAGCCATAGCTTATAGGTTGTTGTTTTACAGTGTGCATATAAAATATACAATTTTGCAATTATTTTCTAAATAATTTAGTCGATGAATACTGGCTTAAAAAATTGTCGATTGTAATTTAAACCATATCAAATTTAACCGTACCTCCACAAAAGTTATATTATAATAAAATCGAGTTCAAACATTAATTCAAGATACTATCCACTAAACTAAATGTCTAACATAACATTACTTATAACACTAAGTTTAATACTTTGAAGTATGACCCTAGTAAAATAACAAAAAACAAAGTTCAGCAGAATAACAAAAAACATAGTTCAAGTTTAATGCTTTCAACTACAAGCCAAAAAAAAATACATCATCCAATTCATTCAAGTTTGTCTTCTTGGAATACGTCATCCAGATCTTCCTCTTGAAATTCATCACATATGTCGTCCTCCAGATATTCTTCATCTATGTCATCCTTTTGAAATTCACCATCTACACCATCCTCTTCAAATTCATCATCTAGATCTATGTCGTCCTCTTGAAATTCATCACCTATAACATCCTCTTTAAATCCAGCATCTACGCCGTCCTCTTGAATTTCATCATTTATATCGTCCTTTTCAAAATCTTCATTAATACCTTGTTGCATAAGAAAATAAAACAAAATACATCAACCATAAATATTTTTGGTCCAAATGACAATTAGGACATCAATAAGAATTAAACCTTGCACAAATAAACAACAAAAATAACGAGCAAAATACATTATGCATTAATACCCAGAAACAACTGTTGTAAGTGGGATACCTGTTGGGTACATAAGTTGATTTATACCTCAATGACACTGGTTGAATTAAAAAAACATGATATCGAAACACATGACACATGAGAGGATATCAAGAAAGAGCATAATTATTGTCCTTAAAAAGTGCATGTTTTTCTTTTGCAACATTGACATCAATACCTATAGAATCAAATTACACCCATGTGTTATCCATGTTTTCAACTTCAAAAATAGTATATCATGACAGGTGTATACCTTTTGGCATTTATGACACGTTATTCATTTATCCCTTCATGTACTCCACCTCATTCATCCACGTCTTCAAGTACTTGTGTTATAAAATGCTTGGAGCATAGTGATAGCTTATATGGGGAAACACAGCCTGAATAAAGAATGAATAACTTGATGGTAATAACACCGAACATAGACATTTAAAAAAAACAAAGATCAATAAAATCTGAAAGAAGGTTCATAACCTGTTTAACTTCATGCCACATGTCCTTCGCGGAGATGCCTTTGTGAGAACCAGATATAACAAAGACAGAGCATTATGAGATATGAACATATTCAGTCTCTTCTGCTGCAATTGCAAATGTGAGCAGAGATTGCTCATTTGCAGTCCTGTACATGCATGTATCAGTTAATTTTTCATCCATTGCCTAAAAGTGTATTAACAAGTTAGAGAGTTACTTGTGATGTAGAAGCACACCATGCACGCCATCAGGCCTCCTAGCAAGAGGTAATATGTATCTTGAATGTTAGAATGAAGTAAAGGCAAGGTGTGGGGATAGGGAAAGCAATCAAATGGGAACATCTTCATGTAGATTATAAACCAACAGACAATTTTCTTACTTTATCTTTGAGTTGAAGTGATGACCAGTAAATTCAGATTGCCCTCCAACATAATTCTGAATGTACACAACAAATTGGTTGCACTCAATACCTCAAGAAACATACTGTAATAGTAAAGAGCCAGCAAAAAAACATTTCACTTACAGCCCATGTGAAAAGCAAGGTGAAATCTTTTGAGGCAGTATTTATTATTTGAATAAACTTTCAATCGGCTTAAAAAAATTAAATCTCTGAGAACCAACTAATATAAGCTTTCGAAACTGATATGGATATGAAATTAAACAAAGGAATCATTATGCTGGGAAGTGGTATTCGAAGAATACAAAACACATTAATAAAAAAGAGAGAAAACCAAAAGCTTACCCCAGAATTTTGCATTTTCCTTAAGGATTCTCCACTTGTATCAACAAAAATCATCACACCTGATATATGCCCTGGACAAGAATCTTCCATCAGATTATCAGAATTCTTCTATTTAAATCAGTAGCTAAATACTCTATAGTTATTTATAGATACAATACAGACTAATGATTCAAGTATCAATAATTTAAGGAGTTCTTCAAAGCCACTGTCATTAAGGGGAAAATTGTAGTTGGAGAAAATCTACAATCACACACATTTTAACTTCATAAACGTAACCAAAAAAAAGTTATGAGTAAATTACCATAGCTTGCTTATCTCAAATTTCTAGTTTAATGGCTATATTATGTACACGTTGAAGTGGTGGGGTTTATTAGATAAATAGACCATAGAAACAATAATGATTAAAATAATTGTTCTTCAGTAGTAACTATTAGAGATAAATATGATACCATGTTAAGACAATAGAAAGCAGTTAAACTGTAACAGAATTGAATCACACTTCATTACACTTAGAATCGTTACAACAGACCCATATATAGGCCTAACAGAAATGCCAGCTCAGCTAAGCTGAACTAACTAAACAATCTCTTATATATAGGCCTAATAGAAGAGTAATCTATATTTATCTCTAATAGTAACAACAGTGAGACTTCAAACTCTAGTTTAGCAGCATAATCAAATAATTGCTACTTATTAGTTGATACATTCATCACAAACCCAACAACACATTCATCATGTACGAGAAAAGATACCTCGAAGAGAAAAAAGAACAAAATGTCATAAACAAATAGCATAAATGAAGAGAGACAGACATGACTTTTGTTACCATAATAACTAGTCCCTCATCATTAACAATTATCAAACCCATGCTCCATCATCAATATAACAAGCCACACAGAACAAATGTAGAAACAAGAATAACCAAACATGTAAAGACATATTTAATACACATATGGGTTAAAAGATGTCTTTGTATGATTCATCGGTATATCATATAGGTGATAATAATTCTTGATCATCCCAAAACCAGCTGAGAAACTCAGTAGAATACATATGCTCAATTTTATAGACATAATAACTCAAAAGCTAAGTTTATCTTAAAGTCCAGTTCAGATAATAGCTAAAACTTGCTTCCAGATATTAAAGGGGTGTCATTGTTCATAACATTCAGTTTCAATGAAAAACGAAAAAAAGCCAAGGACTCGTAATTTGGTTGCTATTGCTAGTAATAGACAAAGCAAGTTTCTAAGTCCCAACCACATGACTTCACATCACAATAACTCAACAATTGCAATAAAATTTAATTGTTTTAAACACAAACTAATAACAATGGATGTGTTAGTAAAAGGCCTCTTATCACTAGGACTTATGTCAGAAAGAAGCATATAAATCAAGTTAATGCTGCAACAGAAATTATGTTTTACTAGTAGGCAAATTATTTTATTATTGTTAAATGTTGAATTTGCAGTAACTGCTGTCTAACATCTGCAGGAAGTCAAAAACTGCTGAAAAAAGTTAATAGTTATAAATATAGGCTGAAAGGAAAAAGGAGGGGATTGGGTATTCTGTATGTTGGCTGGGTTGGGCGACAATAGGCTCTCTAATTCCTAGGGGTTGTTTGTGACACCGACATTTTTCATATCAAAACCAGTCTTAACATGATAGACGCGGGGAGCGGCCAACCTCAATACACTAAAGTAGAATAGTAGATATAGGGATAATCTGGTTTCTAACTGATTTGGAAATGAAGCTTCAAACTATATTTCCAATTTCAGAGTTGCATCAGAAACACACCAGAATATCAGATGCTAATGCAATGTTTTTCTATAATTTTTTGTTTTGTTTATTCCTCTTAAGTAAATTAACAAAGCATACAAGTCAATATATGTAATTAAAGCTAAAAATTATGAAATGAACCAGATCAGAATCCTAATATGAAGCATCTTTAATGCAAAATAGTTAACTGGGAGCATTACAATGTAAGTGTCTCAAAACATTACTCCACTCGTGAAAGACAAACTGCAACAGACAAGGATACGATACATTTGCAATTAGTGTTATAACTAGTAACATGAACATCCTCTTTACGGTGAAACAAATGCACAAAACATTGAGATAGCATACAACATGCACAACATCTATAATATATGTATGTGACTTCCAGCATTCATATAAAAATTATTATAATTATGACTTACGTATAAAAATGAATATAATTATGACTAACAGAGTAACAGGCTATTAACAACCGGCGGTAAAAGCTAATATCAAACTATATTTCCAATTTCAGAGTTGCATCAGAAACACACCAGAATATCATATGAGCTAAACTATGTTACATATGTTACTTCATGGAAGAGATAGTTTAAGGCTGTCTTTGTATATATCAATTCTATGATGTGTTTCCTTGTTGAAAAATTAATGTTGATGTTGTAGTTTGTTTAAACATAATGCAGCCACTAAGAGAAAAACGAGAAGAAGTGAAGTATCGTTTTAAGCTGCAAATGTACATAATGCAGTTAAGATTGACTACTTTTTAGCATTTCACGAATTAGGATTAATTACTTTATCTATTTTTCCACTTGTAGACATTATTTGCAGTTGGTTTATGTATTTTTCACATGTCCACGTCATTAAGAGCCTAAAACTTGTGATTGCGTATTCATTGTATTATAAAAAATGACTTAGTCCTTGATTGAATATGTTCATATAATACACTGGTTTGTTTTGAGTATAAGATTTGTCATTATTGTGATATCTTGTGTGCTTCTTCAAAGAGTTAGATTCAATTTTTAGGATTATTGTTTCTTGAAAGTTCCAGTATCTCTTAATTTTGGTCCATATATAATTATAAAAACTAAAAAGGGCTATCACTTATATTGATGTTTATTGCTTTCTAACACATGTTGGCCCTACAGGCCTCGTCCAAATGAAAGCTTTGGAGGTCTACATGTTTATTGCTCAACAACGTTGCTTGATTTTTACTTGGTTTCTATATATTATTGGTACTTCAAGTTGAAGTATTGTCTGATCCTGAGACATGATATATTCAACTATTTCTATTTGACATTTTCTTATTACTACCAATGTATTTGTCAGTGTTATTTTCAGTACGTGTCGGGTGTTTGAGCATTGTTAATTTCAGCTTATATACAACAAATAGACTATATAACTTGTAAAAACAGATTAACTCAAGCTTGTGTAAATTTATAATAAAGAATTCTACTCTATAAGAGGAAATGAAGGAGAAAAATGACAGGATTCTGTTACCTAAAGATCTTTCAACTTGATTCCAACAGCAACAAAAACCAAAAGTTTATCCTTAGCTAAAAGCAATTTCAATTTCTATACAACATCCTTCACTGTAACAACAACAACAACAAATCTAGTCAAATAAAACGATAACATTTCTTTCCCAAACAATTTGAAACTGATGAAATACCTAATTGAGCTTTAACCGAGAAAACAACGACGTTGCACAAACAACCTAGAGAGAAATAATCAAAAAATGAGAAAATGAAAATGAAAATGTAATAAAGAGTAAAAGAGATGAAATAGAATATGCCGTCGTTAGAAGAAAGACGGTGATGTCGATGGACTCGAAAGCGGCGCGACGAACGTGATTAGACTGGGTGGTTACGATGCAAGAAGGGGGAGAGTCGCAGGAGCAGAAGGCGTCATCATCAACAACTGTGAACACTGAAAGAATCAACTGGCGAGATGAGACGACAACACGGTTCAGGATGAGATTCGGCGGTAGGATGTTTGAAGAAGGAGAACTTTCATTTTCCTTTTCAATTTGTTTGACATTTTTTTTTCTTTGGAATATGTCTGATTATTTTTTAGATTTTTTATTCTAAAAAAAAGTGTGCACCTTTTTTATAGTTATATATTATTATATTATGTGTTAGAATATATATATATATATATATATATATATATATATATATATATATATATATATATATATATATATATATATATATATATATATATATATATATATATATATATATATATATATATATATATATATATATATATATATATATATATATATATTCATTTTAATAATATTTAGAGGGAAATATTTGTTTTTTAGGGTATAAGTTTTGGAGGGAAGATTCCCACCAAAAATTTGATGGTGCTAAAATTTTATGCAACATTGAAGAAGTGTAGCCTTTTATTATAACTAAAGTAACAATTTAAAAATGTCCTCAAAAGTATTTTAGGGGACAATTATCAAACATTGTTAAAGAAGTAATATATTAACGCTCTAAAATCGTCCCCAGAAGCAGTTAAGGGTACAATTAACAATCGTTGCCAAAAAAATAAAAGAATGACGCTCCAAAAACGTCCCTAATAGTATTTTAGGCAACGATTATCAAGGGTTGCAAATATATTTTTGGAAACAACTATAAATTGTTGCCTATACGAATTTGAGGCAACAATTTTTACATGTAACCTAAAAAAGTGTTGCCAGAGACAATAAATGTTGTAGTGTGAATCTTGAACTGCTCGCATAAACCGGTGATCATAGTATTGTTAAGGTTTGTACCGTTATCAGTGATAATCCTTTCGGGGATACCGTATCGACAAATAAGATTCTGCTTGATGAAGCGGGTGTTGTACCCCAAATTTTGACCTAAGATACCATCTCCCATCTGCATCATTACATTGCAAGGGTTTTGACCTATTTTTATCAATTTTCAAAGCAGTTTTAAAATTCATAACTTTTTCAAGTCAAGAGCTGTTTATTTTTTGAACGCTAAATTTATTAATTGATCAATGCTAAAACAATGTTTATTAATTATTTATTATCTTAAATTTAAATAATTGGAATTTATTTTCAGTTATTATATAATTTAAAGATTTATAAATAATAAAATAAATATTTGAAAAGAGTTTATTAATTGATCAACAATGTTTATCTAATTATTTATTATTCTAAGTTTAGATAGTTGAAATTTTATTTTCAGTTATTATAATTTAGAAGAATTATAAATAATGAAGTAAATGATTGAAGAGAAGTTAATTGATCAATGATGTTTATTTAATTATTTATCATTCTAAATTTAAATAATTGGAATTGATTTTCAGTTATTATATAATTTAAAGAATTATAAATGATAAAATAAATAATTGGAAAGAAGAAAAGAATTAACTGAAATAATAGAATTTTATTCATCTTTATTCTAATTATTACAATTGTTGTTTAAATATTGTATTATGTACAAAGTATTTACAATGACAATTACATAAAATGTTTAAAGTAAAATAAAAACTATTTTTCTAAGATTCTAAATCTCCATCTTCTATCCAATGCTTCTTTAATGCTCGTTTGATTTTACCTGCAAAAGAATTAAAAGAAAAGTCAGAAATGAATATAATTAAAAGCAGACGATTAATTTTAGCGTTCATCATTAAAAGCAAACGGCTGGAATCAGTTTTTATCCTTTTTGAAAATCACGGGATTTCTCCCGGTTCACAAAAAGGGATGAATTTTTATTGATAAAAATGAATGCACAAGTTAAAATATGTACAAATTCACTTTTGTCAAAATTGCACATTTTTATTGTAAACTGCATAATCCAAAATCAATTACACATTTTCAAAGTCCACTGCATATTTCAAAAGCAAAACAACATATTTTCAAAAGCCAATATGCAACGTAAACTACCCAAAGCATGTGGGAAGAGGTCAAAAAAAATAGGCTCCATGCTGTACATGCAGTTGACAAAGAGGAAGTGTGCAGTTAAAACCAAATATGCAAGCAATATATTTCCTAATTACATCATTTTCCAGCTTGTGCTTTTTCAGAACTTAAAAGTACATACAACATTTTAGTGTTTCAATTGTACTAAGGAGAGAGAAGAGAGAAAGAGTGTGGTTTTTACAGGTTTTGGCTTAGGCAGAAAAGGAATAGAAACAAAACTGCAGCAGCATCCAATAAGAAAAGGGAAGCATGAAAAAGAGTATGGACAAACTGATGGAGCAGTAAGAGTGCAGAGTATCAAGAAAAATATTGTTAAATATACTAAAACCTGAGTTATCAAGATAGAGGCCAGCAAACTGTGATAACAACAACAAACCCTTCAAGAAAAAGGGAGGAGCTCATAACCTGTTGTAGGCTCAAACTCAAAACTGTCAACAAATACAAAGTCACTTTTCTTAAGGTCTCAAAACAAAAAACCAGTGAACAACCTACGGTACAGCAAAAGCCTTAACCCTTTCAAAATGATAACCTGTAACACCCAACCAAAACCTCACGCCTTAGTTCAAAAATGCCCAACATAACCTTCACAAACTGGTAAGCTCTCAAACCATCACCAAACCTGTACCATCCTAAACCATAAAACCTGTTCAAGCCTTACCAACGTCTTGGTTCAAAAAACCTGTAATGGCCTGAAAAACCCAAAACCAGTAAAGCCATTACCAAAACAACAAAAAACCCTTCAAGAAAAAGGGAGGAGCTCATAACCTGTTGTAGGCTCAAACTCAAAACTGTCAACAAATACCAAGTCACTTTTCTTAAGGTCTCAAAACAAAAAACCAGAATACCCAAAACCTTCATAAGCTTATAACCAGCATAAACAAATCTGAGCTAAAACCAATTTCCAAACCCACAAAAGCCCTCAGACAGTATCATCACTGGGCAAAAGCAACTGAAGAACAGCAAAGAAGAGAAGAGGAAAAAGCATACCAACAAAGGCGACAGTCAAGCATCAACATTGGGAAGCTAGTCAAAACAAAAATATTTCAACAATAACATTCAAAGCATCCAAGGCAACACAGGCGTGTAAAGGCAACAGAAGAAGTAGACAGAAGCAACGTTCAAGGCAAACATCAAGGCAACAAAAAAGGAGACAAAGAGTACAGAGTACCAGGGTCACCAAAAAGCAAGCACAACCTCATTAAACTCCCATCACCGTCAAAGCCTCCGGAGCGCCTCCGACCCCACCTCTTCTCCATATCCAGAAAACAAAGGTAGTAATTTCTTTTCTCATCCCTTTTCACAACCTCGTTAAATAAACAAATGAACATAAAAGCAATGAATACCAAATCTTAACATACCAAGTCATCACATGCGAAAATCATAAAAAACGTATAAAAGATCAAAAATCAAACCTTGCTTCGTAAAACCACTGGGCTAGAATATTGGAGGAAGGAGAGGTTAAGTGATGGCGCTGGTGGCTAAGCGGAGGGAGTTGTATTCAGAAGACCTAGCGAAGAAGATGGAGCAAAACAAGAAGAACGACGCTGCAAACCACAAACCCTAACATTTCTAAATGAAACAAATATCATCAACCCTAAAACCTTTGTCTCACCCACTTGGGCCTAACCCGTTTCCTGCCTAAGAGCCCAACGACTTCTACTAACACCCCCCATCCCTTTTTCTGTTTATTCTTGTTTTGGGCCCCCTTGAAACCCCTTTGGCCCATGCGATTTGCTTATCTACCCCCGTTTGATTCTGGACACATCTCTTTCTATTTGTTTTCTTTAGCCTTTTTTTTTAGAATTTTTATTGATTAGTTAATTAGTAATTTAATTAAATAGTAGGTGTAATTTAATTAAAACATTTTTAAATAATTTGACCATTTTTATTAAGTTTAACCTTAAGATTAATTTAGTAATTTTTGTATTCCCTTTTAATTAGATTTAAGTTAATAACTTTTAAGTTTTAATTTAGTTTAGATTATTTAATAACTCTTAAAATAAATACTTTATATTAATATTAAAAAACATATAAAAATAGAAACATATGAAAAACATTTTCTTTAATTAAATCTCTTGCTTTATCCATATTAAACAAAAATACAAAAATGCATGTTCACACCATTAAGTATTTTATTTAATTGTTGTATATCACTTATCTATCTAATTGTCTGTTTGATTATTCAGTATTTACATGGTTATTCTGTTTACGTCTGAATCCAAGAGAAAAATGATTAAATTTGTTGACTTCATGTCCTCAAGTCCAATCACGCGAATATCTTCATTTCATTAAAACTTAGGATAATTTTTCCCCAAATATTCAATCTTTTCAAAATTTGTACCTTTTAAGCCAAAACTTCGACATTAGGTCGTCGTACCTTCAAAAACCCGTCCGTACCCCTTTTCGGCCAAAACAATTTATTTTTAAATCAAACGAACACTTTAATAAATAAATATTTCAAAAAGGTTCCTATAGAGTACTATAGATACATTGGGTGTTAATACCTTCCCACTGTATAACCAACCCCTGAACCATAGATCTCTTTTCAAAAAACGCCTTGTATTTTTATTACTTTTAAAAAGTATTATTTTACATTGCATATTTAGGGTTTTATTTCTCTCTTTCCCCTTTTCCCTTGGAAATAATAAAGCGCGGTGGCGACTCTTGCTTTTGTGAGACGAATTAATCAATAATTCGATCTCCGATTTACCCCGCTACATTTTTTATCGCTACAGAATTGGCGACTCTGCTGGGGAAAGATTGACCTCTTGCTGGTCCATCCCTAAGTGGGTTAAGCCTAATTTGTTTTATCTGTTTTATTATTATTTGATTTGTTTGATTATGTGTTTAAATTGGGGTTGTTTGGGTTTTTTTGTAAAGGACGAATCCTATACCCGGATTAAGTTACACTTAAGGAATAGGACGGGTGGTACAGTCATGTTAACTTTGAGGGAGTAATCCCAAAGAA